CGTGGAGTAGTGGCGGCAACGGTGGAGATAACCGAGGTCGTGGTAAAGGGCAGGGACGAGGGCAAGGTCGAGGTGGAGAAAGCTCACCTCGACAAGAAGACATCAAACCCCGCAAAGACAAGAGCACAGTGAAGTGTTACAATTGTCAAAAGTTCGGACACTACGCGTTCGAATGTCGTAGCAAGAAGCCCGAAGAGGAAGCGAACCTTACTAGCCTCCATGACGAGGGGCCAGCGTTGATGTTTGCCGAGGGAGTGGCGAATCCCTTGCTAGAAGACGAGGAGATAAATCTCGAAGAGATCACACAAGAATCGTCCAAGGAGGAACCAGAGGGGGTGTTACTCAATGAAGAAAAAGTCAAGGCGAATCTCCTCGCAAGTGGCGAGGAGTATAATCACACCAACGTATGGTATCTTGACAATGGAGCAAGCAACCACATGACAGGCTTTCGAGAGAAGTTTAATGAGCTCGACGAGAAGATCACTGGAAATGTGAAGTTCAGAGACGGCTCACTCATCGAGAGCAAGGGCCGAGGAACCATCCTGTTTATGTGCAAAAACGGCGATCAACGTCTAATAACCGAGGTATATTACATTCCGAAATTAAAAAGTAATATCATAAGTCTCGATCAGATGACAGAAGAAGGCAACACGATCACCTTAGTCGGCTCATTCTTGAAGATGTTCGACCGAAATGACGCCCTGTTGATGAATGTGGAAAAATCGCCAAATCGGTTGTACAAGGTTTCCCTCGAGACAAGCCAACCGCTTGTCTATTAGCATCACTAGCAGATCCGGCTTGGTTATGGCATGCGAGACTTGAGCATGTAAACTTTTATGCACTCAAAATGATGGGGGAGAAGGAGATGGCCATAGGGTTGCCTAAGATCACACACCCCAACCAAGTGTGTGAGAGTTGCATGATTTCAAAGCAAACAAGACTGTCGTTTCCTGCCCAAGCCAACTTCCGAGCCGAGCATCCTCTACAACTTGTGCACGCGGATCTGTGTGGTCCGATCACCCCGACATCACTCGCCGGTAACAAGTATTTCTTTTTACTTGTTGATGATTATAGTCGTTGGATGTGAATGTACATGCTCAAAGAAAAAGGAGAAGTTTTTGAAACATTCAAGAAGTTCAAGAAGCTCGTGGAGAACACGTCGGAGTACAAGTTGAAGACTGTACGAACTGATCGAGGTGGCGAGTTCACTTCCCAGAAATTCACGGAGTTCTGCAAAGAAGAGGGAGTCGAGCGTCATCTCACGGCATCGTACACACCTCAACAAAATGGTGTGGTGGAGAGGAGAAATCGCACCGTGATGGGCACCGCGAGAAGCTTGCTTAAAAGCATGCAAGTCCCGGCAAACCTTTGGGGAGAGGCGGTACGACATGCAGTATATCTCTTGAACCGCTTGACAACAAAAGTGCTAGGAGATTGTACCCCTTATCAAGCATGGTTCGGCAAGCGACCTCATTTGAAACACTTGAGAGTGTTTGGATGTACCGCACATGTGAAGGTTGCAGGTCCACATCTCAAGAAGCTCGATGATCGAAGTCAAGCAATGGTGTATCTTGACGTCGAAGACGGAAGTAAGACGCACAGATTTCTTGATCCACCATGCAGGAAAATTCTTGTGAGCAGAGACGCAGTGTTTGAAGAGGAGAAGAAGTGGGAATGGTGCAACGATGATGACGAGCTCATACAAAATTTTATGGAGTTCGGAATTTTACAAGATGACGGAGAAGTAGCGGACTCAACCTCGCCAATGACACCAATGGTCACGCCGAACTCTCAACGACAACAAGAGAACTCAGGAAGACCCACAACGAAAGATGCTCCCAAGAAATTTCGCTCACTTGCCGAGGTCTATGCGGAAGCACCACTAGTAGAGATGGATCTTGATGAATTGTTGTTGCTCACTACCGATGAGCCAACAACATATCATGAGGCGGCAACCGAGGAGGCGTGGAATAAGGCCATACAAAAAGAGCTCGAGTCCATCGAGAAGAACAAGACGTGGGAGCTCACCGACTTGCCACCCGGTCACAAGCTCATCGGCTTAAAATGGGTGTTCAAGTTGAAAAGAGACAGCGAAGGCAACATCCTTAAGCACAAAGCAAGATTGGTGGCGAAAGGTTACGTGCAGAAGCAAGGAGTTGACTTCGAGGAATCCTTTGCACCGGTGGCGAGACTCGATACCGTCAGGTTAATTCTTGCCCTCGCAGCTCATCGTGGGTGGGGATCCACCACTTGGACGTCAAGTCGGCGTTTCTCAATGGTGATATTGAAGAAGAAGTCTACGTCACCCAACCTGAAGGATTCATTGTCAAGAATGAAGAGCATAAGGTGTAAAGCTGTCCAAAGCTCTCTTACGGACTACGCCAAGCACCAGGGCGTGGAACACTTGCCTTAACAAGAGAATGATGAGTCTACGCTTCGTGAAGTGTCCTCAAGAGCAGGCTATGTATACGAGGAATCACAGAACAGAAGTACTCATCGTCGGCGTGTATGTTGACAATTTGATTGTAACGGGATCCAACATTGATGGTGTTGAGATATTCAAGAAGCAAATGATGAAGGAGTTCGAGATGAGTGATCTTGGGCTGCTCTCATACTACCTCGGTATCGAGGTAGACCAAAAGAAAGACCACATCACAGTGAAGCAATCGACTTACGCAAAGAAGGTGTTGGAGCAGTTCGAAATGGTAGATTGCAACCCGAGCAAGTATCCAATGGAAGCAAAGTAGCAGCTCGGAAAGGATGCGGAAGGAATCCTTGTGAATCCCACCAAGTATAGGCGTGTCATCGGGTGTCTCAGGTACGACCCGATATCTCATACGCAGTTGGCATGGTGAGTCGTTACATGGAGCAGCCTACCACTTTACACCAGCAGGCGGTGAAGCATATTCTTCGTTACATAAAGGGAACAATGAGCTACGGGATTCAGTACAAAAGAGGACAAGGAGCTGAAGAACTTGTCGGTTTTACTGACAGTGATCTAGCCGACGATATAGATGACAGGAAAAGCAATGGAGGGATGGTATTTTATCTCAATGGGAATCTAATCACTTGGCAATCTCAGAAGCAGCGAATCGTTGCTCTATCATCCTGTGAGACAGAGTTCATGGCAGCCACTGCGGCATCATGCCAAGCCAAAACCAATAACTCTCTATGTCGACAACAAATCTGCAATAACATTGATAAAGAACTCGGTGTTTCATGGACACAGCAAGCATATCGACACTCGCTTCCACTTTATTCGCGAGTGTGTCGAGAATCGACAGATCGGTGTGCAGTTCGTAAGCATCGGAGAGCAGCGTGCGGATATTTTCACCAAGGCTCTAGCAAGAGTCAAATTTGCGAAAATGCGAGAGCTACTTGGCGTAAACAACTCCAAACCCTAATCAAGCTTACGGGGGAGATTGTGAAACTAATCTTGAATTGGTAATTTGAATTGATT